CGTGTTCCGCCGCTCGTCACTCGTCCCCGGACGTGTCGGCGAGCGTGCTCATCACGTGACGTGACGCGCTGACTACTCGCACGTTTAGTGGCCACACACCACGTATTATTAATTAAGAGGCATACTACTGATTATAATTTATTGAATGTGTGTTTATGTTTTATTAACAGTCCTTCAAAACTATTATTCTTTTTATTTGTCAAATATAACTTGAAATGTCTTTTAAATAGTTGTAACAAAGTGCGATGTTTTAACTTTTTATCTTCTTCTTCTATATATATAAAAATGGATTGCTGTTCCTTAGTCCCGCTAAAACTCGAGAACAGCTGAACGGATTTATCTTATCTTAGTCTTGAAATGTTCGTGGAGGTTCAGGGAAGGTATAAAAGCTGAAAAAATTTTATTCATTACTGGGAAAACCATAAAAACAGCCCTTTTCTATTTCCCATACAAACGTTTTTTTTTTGACATTAGATTTGACAACTAATCATTCTGTCGCACTTCAAAACACGGAGATTTATGGCTTACAGGTAAACTCCAAAAATATAAATAAAAAAACGTAATAGATATTTCTTAATTATAGGGCGATACGAAGTTCGCCAGGTCTTCTAGTTTATAATATTTATTTACTACGGTAAGGTAACTTAAATATTATTTTTAAAATTCAGTAATTGATTTGTTTATAACAACTATAGTAGGTAATATGTGTGTTACAATAAAGATCCATAATGTTATTGAGTTTCATTCCATTATTAAACTTTCGAATCGAATATTTTTTTGACCGAACTGGAAACAAGGAATAACTTGTAGTTTCGTTTTGTGTCGTAAAGAATACTTAATATTTAAGTGTTGAACTATTTTCATTGAAGCTTAATTATTATATTGTGTTTATTAAATTATATGAAAAAAATTCGTCACGTCTTCATTACCAACTTTAGCTTACATTAATTTCAAAATTATAGAGCGGTATACGTTTATGAAGTGGTAAGCGCTACAGAATTTACTTCACATTAGTTAAATTAATATGATCAATATTAAAATTTGTATTTATGACTGATTATTTTTATTTTCCTAACTTGCTTTCCGCCCGCGGCTTCGCCCGCTTGAAGTTCGGTTATATCGCGTTTCCAAGAGAACCTTTCAAAAGTCTGAGATAAAAACTATCCTATGTTCTTTCTCAAGGTCAACTCTATCTCTGTACTAAATTTCATTAAAATCAGTTCAGTGGTTTAGGCGTGAAAGCGTAACAGACAGACAGAGTTACTTTCGCATTTATAATATTAGTAATACTTTCAACTTATGTGTCGTTGAATTGTAGTAATGTACTGGGCTAAAATAACACCATTGGACATGAGTCAACTTTGATGCCTTTTAATATATAAGTATTATGGTTTGCAAAAAATAATTAAAAGAAATAAAGAAAAGGAAGCTTATTTATAAGAACATTAATTAATTAGTTTTACTGCATAACAACGACTTTCATGTGAAGGGGTTTTGAGACGGCCTTGTGTGGGGCTTTCCCACTGTGCGGCTACCGACGACCGACGGCAGCGGCGGCGATGCAGAGTAGGTACTCTTCGTTATTTATTTTAGATATTTATTCGTTAAAAGGAACTTTAACTTCAAAAGCCAATTTTTTTTTTTAACTTGATACACCCAAAAGTTCTAAACATGATGTTCCTAGATTCAGTGGTTAAAATTTTGCATACAAAAAGTTTAGCTTCGTAGTTCCTGCTCTGTTCCGTTCGAATTTCGAGAATTCCGTGTGTAGCATTTCACCCCCACGGTGGTGAAGATAACAAACGATTTTAAATTTTGAAAACGCTAGAACAAATTGTTTTTTCTCATCAAGTTCCTAAATATAAAGTTTCATGTTTTTATCCCCAAAAATGACAATCCCATACAAACTTTCAACCTTTATTTCATTCCCTCACTGGTCGAAATTTTGAAAAACGCTAAAACAAATGTATAAATATATCCTATCAAGTGCTTAAATATAAAGTTTGATGGTTTTATCTTCTAAAATTAAGAAATCCCATACAAACTTTCAACCCTTATTACACCCCCTCTCTGGTCGAAATTTCAAAAACGCTAGAACAATTGTTTAAATATATCCTGTCAAGTGCTTAAATACATATAAAGTTTCATGATTTTATCTTTTAAAATTAAAAATACCGTACAAACTTTCAACCCCTATTTCAACCTCTTCATCCCCTTTTTCGCAAAAAAAAGGTAGCCTATATTTTTTCTCAGGGTCTAAAGTTTGTCTGTGTCAAATTTCATCAATATCGTTTGATAGGTTTAAGAGGGAAAGCATAACAGACAGACAGAGTTACTTTCGCATTTATAATATTAGTTGGGATTGCCTCCTCAAACCCCCCCCGTACCCCAGTGACGCTTACATGGAGCCTACATCGCATGCTGGCTAGCTGAGCGCGATGAGCGTCAACCACGCGACTTTTTTCTAATACATACTTGCATTTTTAAACTCGTGATATCTTCCGAATGAAATGTCCGAATTGAATAATTCAAAAAGTTATAAAAAGGCATTAAAGCCGTCTTGAATATAAAGTAATTTATTTTGATAAGGATTAATACCAAGGTACAAATATAAGCCTTTTCAAGCGGCGGCATATAAATTAATTTTTTAGAATAAAAAACCGCTTATTGCAACGTAACTATAATATTTAGACATATGCTGTCGCGACACTTTTTGTAGATAATGATGATTTCTGCAAAGTTGTAGTAAATGATTTTGTTCTATCATCAATAGTTTTCGCAGAGCACGCGACGTAAGGAATTTTTCAGATCATTTTGTTACACCTTGGGTTACATTATCGGAATTTTAGTAAGGATTCCTAATTTTTTTAAAAATATAATATAGCCTATATTACTCGGGAATAATGTAGCTTTCCAAAGGTGAAAGAATTTTTGAAATCGGTTCAGTAGTTTCGGAGCCTATTCATTACAAATAAACAAATCTTTCTTCTTTATTAATATAGATAGATGAAAACATTTAAGGATCGGATTGTATTTGTGAAAAGATATGGTCGTCAAGCATAAAGGCTCAAGATTTTGGATATCTGGAAATTTTTACAAAAATTATATGTTTACAATATCAATTTGTAAACCTTACGGCTTACACTGATGCTTTTCATTCAATTATGTATAGGTACTTAGTCCAAATTTTAATTGCGGTAAAGTATATTTTATATTAACAAAACCTGTGAAATGTTTAAAGGGGATATCAATAAAACATCAGGCTTGTGTTTATACTGCTGTAGTAAACTCATTTGTGATCACATTTATTTTAATAATATATTTTGACACACATATTGTTACGTACTAGTATTGTATTTCCATCCGTTTTCGCAATGGTTTTAAATCTTGTTTCAAAGTATCGGATGTTCTACTCCAATGACGAGCATTTCTGGAGGTTGGACATCGCGAAAACGGAATATTGAAATATTGTATCTATGAAGAAACGACAACACTAAAGTAGAATAGAAGTAAGTGTAGATAATGCAGTACGAAGTCGCCTTCTGGTTATATATGCTGGTGCTGAGACGGTGGGAATGGGATTCATTAGACACGTAATAATAATAGTTAATAAATTTATATATCTCTTATGTTATGTAGAATATTACTAATATATCGAAATAGTAAGCGTAAATTGATTGAACGATGTTAATCTTCTGTCAGAATAATATATATTTTTTAATCTAGATTTATATCGAAGAGTTTGTTTGTTTGTTTGAAAGCGCTAATCTCCGAAACTACTGGTTCGAATTGAATAATTCTTTTCGTGTTGGATAGTCCAGTTATCGAGGAAGGCTGTGGGCTATATAACATCACGCTACGACCAATAGGAGCAAAGATATAGTGGTAAATGTGTAATAAACGGGAGAAATTATTTCATCTTTGAAGCATTCCGTTGCGTGCGCCGTGAAAACGGTTCAAGATACACAAAAAAAATGTATTAAAGAATAATAGCTCTTTTAATGATCTAAAAACAGTCCGCAACGGTATATGTCTATCTTTTAAGATTAACTCACAAAAACCGTTTTTATGGTACCTAATTTGGTCGAAATAATTTGTTTAAGTTGTATCAACATAATAATATTAATCTTTATTCAAATAAACAAATAAATATGTTGTTGGTTAAGAGTACTTCATTGTGAATTAAAAAAAAGCATAAGTTTTATTCTGAAAATTCTACGGGAACTCGACCATTCCGAAAACCCCGCAAGAACGGGAACTATGTGGGAAGTCACTATTCCACGCGGACGCAGTCGCGGCAAAAGCTAGTTACATATAAAGTATTATGTGTTTTACTAAATTTGTTGTAAACATATCCTCCTATGTTACAAATGCTCAAAAAATATGGAGTTTTTCTTATGTTTAATATATATACTTAGGAAACACACTTATAATTTGAACCAAAACTTTAAATTCAAGAACGTTTCCGAAATAGTTTTAAAGCGATGACGCTTGGCTTGTTCGACTTTTACGCGGGAAAGTATTTTGTGAACAAGACTTGTACATATTGTTGTAAATTGAATTTAACTTATTTAAGGTGTATTCGGTTAGGATAATAACTAGTTTGTTCTAGACTCTAGTTAAGGTTTTATTTGTTATTCAAAAGTATTGGCTTTATAAGAAAACTATATTTTTTAAGGACTTTGTTGGAATCCTAAATATATATACTTTTTTTGAGACCAATAAATCATTACTATTAAAAAAAATAACCATTTTTTAATTCTCACATTTATTTACTTTTTTGTAACACTAATAGTATTGCCGAAACAAGAGACATATTTTTCCTTTACGACTAATAAATTTTGTTGACAGTAATGTAAAATAAGATTTTTTTTAAAATTAAAATACCATATTTCATCATAAAATTACCCAAACCAGAAAGAAAAAACAATTAAATAAATTATTTAGTCAATGCAAAATTTCAGCTGGATTCATCGCTTGGGCTTGTTCCGGGTCCGTTGTCAGTTCTAAAAAAAATACACATTACAATAATAAAATAATCTTAATCAAAAAATATATAAGTTTTTAAGTTATTATACATATCTATGAATATTATTTTAAATAACAGACCCTCAGACAGTGACTTTATAAAATATAAGAAACGAAAATGTAATAACATAGGTAACGGTTATGGTATTTTGTAAATAACTTTATCATAAGAGCTGGTTGTACTCGCACGGTACGCCCCAGGGTCCACAGGTCCTGTTGAACAAACAGTTAATGTACTCGTATCCATTCCTTGTGCTGTTGATCCAGTCGTATTGACCCTGAGCTGACGTCGCCACCAGCAACACACACACACACTAACACCACCCTCATCCTGTACATATGTTAAAACACCCTTTACAGCGATCTACTATGTTATAAAATAGCAGTAGGAACACTGTTATAATATAGGGTGTCTCACGGAAAATTTCGAATTTAAAAAGGCTATAAAAAAAGAACGACTCGATAGATTTCAATGATCAAACATTTATTTGAAAGCATAATTCATGACATTATTTGTGAAAAATTATCTCGGTCAAATGTCCACCACAGCTTACTTGGCAGTACCCTATTCGATCAGTCCAATTTTTCAGTACATTTTCAATTGTTTCCGGCCTTATGGCAGCAATGGCAACTTCAATTTCATGTTTCAAGTCATCAATCGTGCTTGGCTTGTTGGCGTAACAAACGTCTTTGACCGCTCCCCAAAGGTAATAATCCAATGGTGTTAAATCGCAGCTTCTTGGAGGCCAATTCACATCACCATTTTTGCTGATTATGCGATTTTCGAAGATTGGGCGCAAAACATCGACCGTAGCATGGGCTGTATGGCACGTAGCCCCGTCCTGTTGAAACCAAATATCGTCCAAATCATACTCTTCCATTTGACCGAAAAAAACCAATCAGTTAACATAGCGCGGTAGCGCTCGCCGTTGACGGTTACGGCGGCTCCTTCATCATTTTCAAAAAAAAATGGGCCGATGATGCCGCCGGACCAAAATCCGCACCAAACAGTCACTCGTTGTGGATGTATCGGTTTCTCCTCAACGACGTGCGGGTTTTCTGTGCCCCATATACGGCAGTTTTGTTTATTTACATAACCGCCGAGGTGAAAATGAGCCTCGTCGGAAAAGATGATTTTTCGATAAAACTCACCATCTTCGGCCAAACGATCTTCCGCCCAATTTGCGAACCGTAGACGTTTCGGATGATCAATTGGCTTCAGCTGTTGGGCCAACTGAACTTTATATGGCTTCAGGGCAAGATCTTTGCGCAAAATTCGGTGCGTAGTTGACCGAGAAAGGTGCAACTCTTGCGCTCGATGACGAATCGATGTGGATGGCCGTTCACGAACACTTTGTTCCACCGCAGCGATGTTTTCGGTTGACCTTGCTGGAAATGGACGTTTACGTGTTGTTTTATCCAACAGTGATCCAGTTTCGCGCACACGATTCACAAATTGCCGCACATATGCCTCCGATGGCAAATCTTTTTTGGCAAATATTTTTTTCAAATTTCGCACAGTTTGCGTTGGCGATTCACCACTTTGGAAATAATTTTTTAATATTTCCCAGCTTTCCTCAAGCGAATAGCGACCCATTTCGTAAATGTCAGACTTATTACTAAATATGTGACACTTCTCCGATGACAGTTGACGTCTCCAATGTCAAATTATCGTTAGTTCAAATTCGAAACGCTAGATGGGACACCCATGTAACGGTTATTAAGATCACAAACAGTCTCCTGTGCGATCAACAGGTTAACTGTGTAGCTCTTAACAAAAAAAGCTTTTAAACAGTATCCAAAGATAGACAAAGGAAGTTACATTTAAAAAATATCCAACTTTTTCATTCTATATATCTCGTTTTTGGTATTTTGTTTAGTCAAAAATCAGCTACCATTTCTTCACTACATAAATCAAGAATTTTTACAAAATTATTTTTGACATCTTCTCGTACATAATGATATTTAACATCAATGTGCTTTGATCTATTGTGACTTTGATTGCTAACTGACAATTTTATTGCACTTTGATTGTCACAAAAGACCTCAATTACATAAAAATAACCTAAAATTTCATTAAGTAGGTTCCTAAGGTATACTGCTTCCCGAGCTGCCTCAGACAGAGCAGTATATTCTGCCTCTGTACTGGAAAGAGATACTGTCTTTTGTTTCCTACTTTGCCATGACACAGCAGATCCAGACAATGTGAAGCAAAAGCCTGTATATGACTTTTTGTCCAAAGCATCATTAGCCCAGTCGCTATCTACAAAGCCCTGTAATTTTCTATCATCCTTACAAAATTTTAAACAATATTTTTTTGTATACAACAAATATTTAAAGATGCGTTTAGCATATTGCCAATGACAGTAATTGTAACTGCTATTAAATTGGCTCAGATAACTAACTGCGTATGAAATGTCTGGCCTGGTTAAAACAGCTAAATACATCAACGATCCTATTAACTTTTGATATGGAAGATCGGACAAACATTCATCAGCTTTCTTAACATTCAGTTTACATTCAATTGGGGTTCTATATGTTTTACAATTTGACATATTAAATCTAAAAGCTAACTGCTCAATATACTGTTGCTGATCTACAGTTATTACATTTTTATTTCTGTCAACATTTATTCTCATACCTAAATATTGTCTGACACTGTCCCAAATATTTCAATTTAAAATTTTTACCTAAAACACATTTCAAATTATCAGTTTCAACAGAATTATTTGAAAAATTTAAAAAATCATTAACATACAGGGCAACAAATAATTTAATCTCACCTTTAGTTTTTGTGAACAAACAAGGTTCGTATTGACTATTTTTAAAACCCAAGTTACAAAGTAATTCTTTAACCCTGTCATACCATGCAAGAGACAATTGTTGTTTTAACAATCTTCTCTTGGGTTAAACCCATATATGGTTCTTTTAAGTTTCAATACCTTTCCCCCGCTTTTGTTCACAAAACCTTCAGGTAATGACATGTAAATACTTTCTTTCAAAAAACCATTTAAGAATGCTGTAGTTACATCTAAGTGATCAATACTCATATTTAATTTAACACTGAGAGCAAGTGTGGAATGCCTCACAACCGGAGAGAAAGTTTCTGTATAATCAATGCCAGGTTTTTGCAAAAAACCTTTAGCCACAAGTCTTGCCCGGAAACGCACATTATTGTCCACATCAAACTTTTTATTAAGCACCCATCTACACTTCATAATTGTCACATCACCTGGGTTGTCAACGAGCTCCCAAGCATCGTTGTCTTCGAAAGACTGTAGCTCGTCGGACATGGCACGCTTACACTGCTCACTCTCAGGCCCTGCAAGAGCCTTTAATAATTCTGCATTTTCTTCTTGTGCTAGGTTGTCTGTAGTTAGAGTTTCAGTTAATATTTCATTCCCATCCTCATACACAGAAGTGTCTGAATCACAGCCTTTCTGAGTCTAAAACATTATTAGATGTTTCCCCCACTGAATCTGTATCCACTTCATCTTGTGATTCAACTGCAGATGTCTCTTCATTAGGTATCCAGATAGCCGATTCTGATTCTTGACATATTTCTTCGGTACCTAATTTTTCTTTCATAAAGATCACATCTCTGCTAATGACAACATTTTTCTTGACAGGATTGTATAATCTGTAACCCTTCACATCTTCACCATAGCCAACTAATATGTGTTCCGTAGACTTTTTATCCCACTTCAAACGTCGCTCCTTAGGGACATGTACCATCACTTTGCAACCGAACAAACGTAAGTGACTTAGGTCAGGTTTTCTACCATACCATAATTCATACGGAGTTTTCTGAAGTCCCGATGCAATGGATCTATTTTTTAAATAGACAGCAGTGTTTGCTGCTTCTGCCCAAAAACATTTATCCAGCTTTGCATCATAAATTAGACATCTAGCCTTCTCAACCACTGTACGATTATCTTGCTCCCATAATCCATTTTGTTCCGGGGTATAATTGTTCGTTCTCTGATGGATAATACCCTCTTGCTTTAAATAATTCTCAAACTCTTTATTGGTAAATTCTAGTCCATTGTCTGACCTTAATATTTTTATCTTTTTATTTAATTGATTTTCTACTTTTGTTTATACATCTTGAAATAAGAAAAAGCTTCACTTTTCTTCTTGAGAAAGTATATGAATGACATTCTACTAAAATCATCAACAAACAGAAGAAAGTATCGTGCACCACTCAATGAATTAGTTTCCATCGGTCCACAAAGGTCTGTATGGATTCTATGTAATGTCTCTGTACTTCTCTCACCCACATGTGAAAAGGGTAACCTTTCCTGTTTTCCTTCGCAACAAGTTGTACACTGAGATTTAGTTATGTCAAAATTCTTTTCATATGACAAACCATCCACCTTAGGCCTCTTTTTATTCATATCCTCACTATTTATGTGTGCCAGCCTTCTGTGCCATAGTTTGCCACTTATCTTAGGTTCTGCCAACATACAACTTTGTGTACACAACCTCAGCTTATGAACACCATCCGATAAATCAGCTGTGGCTACCAAAACATTTCTTTTGTTTCGTATATAGCAGTGTTTTTCATCAAAACTAACATTATTTCCATTTTTAATAAGTTCACTTACAGATAATAAGTTCGTTGTTAAACTAGGCACGCATAACACATTTTTCACAGTAATGTCGAATTTTAAGTCAGACACAATATCGACGTCTCCAGAACAAACAACTGGCACTTTGGATTCATTTGCTACCACAATTTCAGGTATACAAGACGTGTTATTCATGTTTTTAATCCAAGATTCGTTTGCCGTCATATGTGCACTTGCGCCGGAGTCTACGTACCACTCTGTTTTGTTAAACTTTCTATTCAGGAAAACAACACTAAAAGCATTTGTTTGCTTATTTTTCTTTAATAATGGGCATTGGCTTCGATAATGACCATCTTCTTTACATTTATAACATGTTATTTTTTTAGATGTATTTGATGACGTATCTGTCATAGCTGTCACTGTCTTCTTGTTTGACGTTGACGGCCCGCCATATTTTTTTGTCTTTGTGACGCCAGAGTTAAATTTATTTCGCACGGCAAATGCAGCTCCGTTTCCGGCGCTGTCATTGTCACTGGCGATTTCCATGTCCCACAATTTAGACTTTATGACATCAGCACTTATCGAAATACCCGAATGTTCAATTGCCATTATCATGGGAGTATAATGATCCGACAAACCTGCTAATAATAATGATCCAACCCACTCATCTGTTATTGTAAATCCCGTGCCATTTAACAGCTGTGCTGTCTCGACGATTTGAGTCACATGCGTAGAGATGGGGATGAAGGGGGTGATAGAGATGATGGAGGTGATAGGGATGACTGGGGTGATGGAGATGATGGGGATGATGGGGGTGATGGGGATGATGGGGGTGATGGGGATGAAGGGTGTGATGGGGATGATGTGGATGATGGGGGTGTAGGGATGATGGGGGTGATGGGTGTGATTAGGATGATGGAGATGATGAGGATGATGGGGTGTATGGGGATGACGTGGATGAAGGGGGTGATGGGGATGATGCGGGTGATGCGGGTGATGTGAATGATGAAGATGATGGGGGTGATGAGGATTAAGAGGGTGATGGAGATGATGGAGATGATAGGGATGATGGGGACGAGGGGGGTGAAGGAGATGATGGGTGTGATAGGGATGATGGGGATGAAGGGGGTGATTGGGATGAAGGAGCTGATGGGGATGATGGGGGTGATGGGGATGAAGGGTGTGATGGGGATGATGTGGATGATGGGTGTGATGGGGATGATGGAGATGATGGGGACGAAGGGGGTGATGGGGCTGATGGGGATGATGGAGATGATGGTGATGAAGGGGGTGATGGGGATGATAGGGATGATGGGGATGATGGGGATGAAGGGGGTGATGTGGATGATGTGGATGATGGAGATGATAAAGATGAAAGAGATGATGGAGATGATAGGGATGACGGGGATGATGGGGGTGATGGGGATGAAGGGGGTGAAGGAGATGATGGGGATGATGGGGATGATGGAGATGATGGGAGTGATGGGGATTAAGAGAATGATGGAGATGATGGAGATGATGGGGATGATGGGGGTTATGGGGATGAAGGGGCTGATGGAGATGATGGAGATGATTTGGGTGATGGGGGTAAAGGGGGTGATGGAGATGATGGAGATGACGGGGGTGATGGGGATTATGGGGATGATGGAGTTGATGGAGATGATGGAGATGATAGGGATGATGGGGATGATGGGGATGACGGGGGTGATGGGGATGATGGGTGTGATGGGGATGATGTGGATGATGGAGATGATGGAGATGATTGGGATGATGGGGATGATGGGGTTGATGGGGATGATGGAGATGATGGGGGTGATGAGGATTAAGAGGGTGATGGAGATAATGGAGATCTTGGGGATGATGGAGATGATGGGGTTGATGGGGACGATGGGGATGATGGAGATGATGGAGATGATAGGGATAATGGGGGTGATGGCGGTGATGGGGCTGTTTGGGGTGATGGGGATAAAGGGGATGATGGGGATGATAGGGATGATGGGGCTGATGGGGATGATGGAGATGATGGTGATGAAGGGGGTGATGGGGATGATAGGGATGATGGGGATGATGGGGATGAAGGGGGTGATGTGGATGATGTGGATGATGGAGATGATAAAGATGATAGAGATGATGGAGATGATAGGGATGACGGGGATGATGGGGGTGATGGGGATGAAGGGGGTGAAGGAGATGATGGGGATGATGGGGATGATGGAGATGATGGGAGTGATGGGGATTAAGAGAATGATGGAGATGATGGGGATGATGGGGGTTATGGGGATGAAGGGGCTGATGGAGATGATGGAGATGATTTGGGTGATGGGGGTAAAGGGGGTGATGGAGATGATGGAGATGACGGGGGTGATGGGGATTATGGGGATGATGGAGTTGATGGAGATGATGGAGATGATAGGGATGATGGGGATGATGGGGATGACGGGGGTGATGGGGATGATGGGTGTGATGGGGATGATGTGGATGATGGAGATGATGGAGATGATTGGGATGATGGGGATGATGGGGTTGATGGGGATGATGGAGATGATGGGGGTGATGAGGATTAAGAGGGTGATGGAGATAATGGAGATCTTGGGGATGATGGAGATGATGGGGTTGATGGGGACGATGGGGATGATGGAGATGATGGAGATGATAGGGATGATGGGGGTGATGGCGGTGATGGGGCTGTTTGGGGTGATGGGGATAAAGGGGATGATGGGGATGATAGGGATGATGGGGTTGATGGGGATAAAGAGGGTAATGGGGGTGATGTGGATGATGGGGATGATGGAGATGATGGAGATGATGGGGGTGATGGGGATGAAGGGGCTCATGGAGATGATGGCGATTATGGAGATGATGGGGATGAAGGGGGTAATGGGGGTAATGGGGGTGATGGAGATGATGGGGATGACGGGGGTGATGGGGATGATGGGGATGATGGAGGAGATGTGGATGATTGGGGTGATGGGGATGATGGGGTTGATGATGAGGGGAATGATGTGTCTGATGAGGATGATGGGTGTGATGTGGATGATGGAGATGATGGAGATGATGGAGATGATTGGGATGATGGGGGTGATGTGGATGATGGAGATGATGGAGATGATTGGGATGATGGGGATGATGGGGGTGATGGCGATGATGGAGATGATGGAGATGGTGACGGTGATGGCATATTTGTTATATTTGGATGGCACATTTGGTATATAAAAAAATTGGTATATAAGGAAAATTGGTATATAAGGACATTTGGTTTATAAGGAAAATTGGTATATAAGGAAAATTGGTATGTAAGGACATTTGGTATACCAACGTCATTTCAGTTTACTTTGAAGGTTTATTAGGTTTTTTTTTTCAACAAATAAAAATAAAAAAACAACAATTAATTCCTTAATTAAAATAAATTTTGATTCTTAATACTATTCACAATATATAAGAAATTAAAGTTATAACTCCTACATTATATTAAGAGCAATGATTTAAAATTACATAAAATTTTTACAATTTAATGATTTTTACCGTTCTTCTAGTACACGAATTGCTCAAAATGCTGTACCAACTCTATACTTAAGTATCTGAAGTAAGCAACTTCCCAAGTAGTTATAGGCACACAATACATACTACTAATATAAAAAAGTATAAATTATCACTTATATTTTATATAATATATAGATAACATTTAACATTATTATTATTTTTCTAATGAAACAAGTGAATATCGCGAACAGACTGATTTATTATTTTAGGTGGAGGTAGATAATTAACAATTGTTACCAATTACTAACAGAGATGACGGTACTAGTAATACATATTTTGATACATCTAGCAACACCACCACTTATCAAAATAAACATGTAATCTCATTTTGGTATGATTCCCAATTTACGCAAAAACTTATAATGTTTAATAGGACATAAACCTTTAGTCAAAATATCAGCTACCATTTCTTCACTACATAAATAAAGAATTTTTACAAAATTATTTTTGACATCTTCTCGTACATAATGATATTTACCATCAATGTGCTTTGATCTATTGTGACTTTGATTGCTAACTGACAATTTTATTGCACTTTGATTGTCACAAAAGAACTCAATTACATAAAAATAACCTAAAATTTCATTAAGTAGGTTCCTAAGGTATACTGCTTCCCGAGCTGCCTCAGACAGAGCAGTAGGATGATGGAGATGATGGAGATGATGAGGATGATGGGGTTGATGGGGATGATGGGGATGATGGGGTGATGGGAATGAAGGGGGTGATGGAGATGATGGAGTTGATGGGGATGACGTGGATGAAGGGGGTGATGGGGATGATGGGGGTGATGGGGATGAAGGGTGTGATGGGGATGATGTGGATGATGGGTGTGATGGAGATGATGGGGATGAAGGGGGTGATGGGGCTGATGGGGATGATGGGAATGAAGGGGGTGATAGGGCTGATGGGGATGATGGAGATGATGGTTATGAAGGGGGTGATGGGGATGATGGTTGTAATGGAGATTATGTAGATGATGGAGATGATGGATTTGATGGGGATGATGATGATGATGGAGATGATGGAGATGATGGGGGTGATGGGGGTGAAGAGGGTGATGGAGATGATGGAGATGATGGGGGTGATGGGGGTGAAGGGGGTGATGGAGATGATGGAGATTATGGGGGTTATGGGGATTATGGGGATGATGGAGTTGATGGAGATGATAGGGATGATGGGGATGATGGGGGTGATGGGAATGAAGGGGGTGATAGGGCTGATGGGGATGATGGAGATGATGGTGATGAAGGGGATGATGATGATGATGGAGATGATGGAGATGATGGGGGTGATGGGGATGAAGGGGGTGATAGGGCTGATGGGGATGATGGAGATGATGGTGATGAAGGGGATGATGATGATGATGGAGATGATGGAGATGATGGGGGTGATGGGGATGAAGAGGGTGGTGGAGATGATGGAGATGATTGGGGTGATGGGGGTGAAGGGGGTGATGGAGATGATGGAGATTATGGGGGTTATGGGGATTATGGGGATGATGGAGTTGATGGAGATGATAGGAATGATGGGGATGATGGGGATGATGGAGATGATGGAGATGATCGAGATGATGGAGGTGATGGGGATGATGGAGATGATGGAGATGATAGGGATGATGGGGATGAAGGGGGTGAAGGAGATGATGGGTGTGATGAAGATGATTGGGATGATGGGGGTGAAGGGAAGATGGGAGTGATGTGGATGTTGGGGATGATGGAGGAGATGTGGATGATTGGGGTGATGGGGATGATGGGGTTGATGATGAGGGGAATGATGTGTCTGATGAGGATGATGGGTGTGATGGGGATGATGGAGATGATGAAGATAATGGGGTGATGGGGATGATGGGGGTGATGTGGACGATGGAGATGATGGAGATGATTGGGATGATGGGGATGACGGAGGTGATGGGGATGACGTGGATAAAGGGGGTGATGGGGATGATGGAGATGATGGAGATGATGGAGATGACGGGGGTGATGGGGATTATGGGGTTGATGGGGATGATGGGTGTGATGGGGATGATGGAGTTGATGGAGATGATGGAGATGATGGAGATGACGGGGGTGATGGGGATTATGGGGTTGATGGGGATGATGGGTGTGATGGGGATGATGGAGTTGATGGAGATGATAGGGATGATGGGGATGATGGGGGTGATGGGGATGAGGGGGGTGATGGGGGTGAAGAGGGTGATGGAGATGATGGAGATGATGGGGGTGATGGGGGTGAAGGGGGTGATGGAGATGATGGAGATTATGGGGGTTATGGGGATTATGGGGATGATGGAGTTGATGGAGATGATAGGGATGATGGGGATGATGGGGGTGATGGGAATGAAGGGGGTGATAGGGCTGATGGGGATGATGGAGATGATGGTGATGAAGGGGATGATGATGATGATGGAGATGATGGAGATGATGGGGGTGATGGGGATGAAGAGGGTGGTGGAGATGATGGAGATGATTGGGGTGATGGGGGTGAAGGGGGTGATGGAGATGATGGAGATTATGGGGGTTATGGGGATTATGGGGATGATGGAGTTGATGGAGATGATAGGAATGATGGGGATGATGGGGATGATGGAGATGATGGAGATGATCGAGATGATGGAGGTGATGGGGATGATGGAGATGATGGAGATGATAGGGATGATGGGGATGAAGGGGGTGAAGGAGATGATGGGTGTGATGAAGATGATTGGGATGATGGGGGTGAAGGGAAGATGGGAGTGATGTGGATGTTGGGGATGATGGAGGAGATGTGGATGATTGGGGTGATGGGGATGATGGGGTTGATGATGAGGGGAATGATGTGTCTGATGAGGATGATGGGTGTGATGGGGATGATGGAGATGATGAAGATAATGGGGTGATGGGGATGATGGGGGTGATGTGGACGATGGAGATGATGGAGATGATTGGGATGATGGGGATGACGGAGGTGATGGGGATGACGTGGATAAAGGGGGTGATGGGGATGATGGAGATGATGGAGATGATGGAGATGACGGGGGTGATGGGGATTATGGGGTTGATGGGGATGATGGGTGTGATGGGGATGATGGAGTTGATGGAGATGATAGGGATGATGGGGATGATGGGGGTGATGGGGATGAGGGGGGTGAAGGAGATGATTGGGGTGATGGGGGTAAAGGGGGTGATGGAGATGATGGAGATGACGGGGGTGATGGGGATTATGGGGATGATGGAGTTGATGGAGATGATGGAGATGATTGGGATGATGGGTATGACGGGGGTGATGGGGATGATGGAGATGATGGGGGTGATGAGGATTGAGAGGGTGATGGAGATAATGGAGATCATGGGGATGACGTGGATGAAGGGGGTGATGGGGATGATGGGGATGACGTGGATAAAGGGGGTGATGGGGATGATGGAGATGATGGAGATGATGGAGATGACGGGGGTGATGGGGATTATGGGGTTGATGGGGAAGATGGGTGTGATGGGGATGATGGAGTTGATGGAGATGATAGGGATGATGGGGATGATGGGGGTGATGGGGATGAGGGGGGTGAAGGAGATGATTGGGGTGATGGGGGTAAAGGGGGTGATGGAGATGATGGAGATGACGGGGGTGATGGGGATTATGGGGATGATGGAGTTGATGGAGATGATGGAGATGATGGAGATGATTGGGATGATGGGGATGATGGGGGTGATGGGGATGATGGAGATGATGGGGGTGATGAGGATTGAGAGGGTGATGGAGATAATGGAGATCATGGGGATGACGTGGATGAAGGGGGTGATGGGGATGATGGAGATGATGGGAATAAAGGGGGTGATAGTTCTGATGGGGATGATGGAGATGATGGTGATGAAGGGGGTGATGGGGATGATTGTTGTAATGGGGATTATGGAGATGATGGAGATGATGGATTTGATGGGGATGATGATGATGATGGAGATGATGGAGATGATGGGGGTGATGGGGATGAAGAGGGTGATGGAGATGATGGAGATGATGGGGATGATTGGGGTGATGGGGGTGAAGGGGTTGAAGGAGATGATGGGGATGATGGGGGTGATGGGGATGATGGAGATGATGGAGATGATTGGGGTGATGGGGGTAAAGGGGGTGATGGAGATGATGGAGATGACGGGGGTGATGGGGATTATGGGGATGATGGAGTTGATGGAGATGATGGAGATGATAGGGATGATGGGGATGAAGAGGGTGGTGGAGATGATGGAGATGATTGGGGTGATGGGGGTGAAGGGGGTGATGGAGATGATGGAGATTATGGGGGTAATGGGGATTATGGGGATGATGGAGTTGATGGAGATGATAGGAATGATGGGGATGATGGGGATGATGGAGATGATGGAGATGATCGAGATGATGGAGGTGATGGGGGTGATGGAGATGATGGAGATGATAGGGATGATGGGGATGAAGGGGGTGAAGGAGATGATGGGTGTGATGAAGATGATTGGGATGATGGGGGTGAAGGGAAGATGGGAGTGATGTGGATGTTGCGGATGATGGAGGAGATGTGGATGATTGGGGTGATGGGGATGATGGGGTTGATGATGAGGGGAATGATGTGTCTGATGAGGATGATGGGTGTGATGGGGATGATGGAGATGATGAAGATAATGGGGTGATGGGGATGATGGGGGTGATGTGGACGATGGAGATGATGGAGATGATTGAGATGATGGGGATGACGGAGGTGATGGGGATGACGTGGATAAAGGGGGTGATGGGGATGATGGAGATGATGGAGATGATGGAGATGACGGGGGTGATGGGGATTATGGGGTTGATGGGGATGATGGGTGTGATGGGGATGATGGAGTTGATGGAGATGATAGGGATGATGGGGATGATGGGGGTGATGGGGATGAGGGGGGTGAAGGAGATGATTGGGGTGATGGGGGTAAAGGGGGTGATGGAGATGATGGAGATGACGGGGGTGATGGGGATTATGGGGATGATGGAGTTGATGGAGATGATGGAGATGATTGGGATGATGGGGATGATGGGGGTGATGGGGATGATGGAGATGATGGGGGTGATGAGGATTGAGAGGGTGATGGAGATAATGGAGATCATGGGGATGACGTGGATGAAGGGGGTGATGGGGATGATGGGGATGACGTGGATAAAGGGGGTGATGGGGATGATGGAGATGATGGAGATGATGGAGATGACGGGGGTGATGGGGATTATGGGGTTGATGGGGATGATGGGTGTGATGGGGATGATGGAGTTGATGGAGATGATAGGGATGATGGGGATGATGGGGGTGATGGGGATGAGGGGGGTGAAGGAGATGATGGGGGTGATGGGGATGAAGGGGCTCATGGAGATGATGGCGATTATGGAGATGATGGGGATGAAGGGGGTAATGGGGGTAATGGGGGTGATGGAGATGATGGGGATGACGGGGGTGATGGGGATGATGGGGATGATGGAGGAGATGTGGATGATTGGGGTGATGGGGATGATGGGGTTGATGATGAGGGGAATGATGTGTCTGATGAGGATGATGGGTGTGATGGGGATGATGGAGATGATGGAGATGATGGGGTGATGGAGATGATGGGGGTGATGTGGATGATGGAGATGATGGAGATGATGGAGATGATTGGGGTGATGGGGGTGAAGGGGGTGATGGAGATGATGGAGATTATGGGGGTTATGGGGATTATGGGGATGATGGAGTTGATGGAGATGATAGGGATGATGGGGATGATGGGGATGATGGAGATGATGGAGATGATCGAGATGATGGAGGTGATGGGGATGATGGAGATGATGGAGATGATAGGGATGATGGGGATGATGGGGTCGATGGGGATGAAGGGGGTGAAGGAGATGATGGGTGTGATGAAGATGATTGGGATGATGGGGGTGTAGGGAAGATGGGAGTGATGTGGATGTTGGGGATGATGGAGGAGATGTGGATGATTGGGGTGATGGGGATGATGGGGTCGATGGGGATGAAGGGGGTGAAGGAGATGATGGGTGTGATGAAGATGATTGGGATGATGGGGGTGTAGGGAAGATGGGAGTGATGTGGATGTTGGGGATGATGGAGGAGATGTGGATGATTGGGGTGATGGGGATGATGGGGTTGATGATGAGGGGAATGATGTGTCTGATGAGGATGATGGGTGTGATGGGGATGATGGAGATGATGAAGATGATGGGGTGATGGGGATGATGGGGGTGATGTGGACGATGGAGATGATGGAGATGATGGAGATGATTGGGATGATGGGGATGACGTTGGTGATGGGGATGACGTGGATAAAGGGGGTGATGGGGATGATGGAGATGATGGAGATGATGGAGATGACGGGGGTGATGGGGATTATGGGGTTGATGGGGATGATGGAGATGATGGAGATGATGGGGGTGATGGGGATGAAGAGGGTGGTGGAGATGATGGAGATGATTGGGGTGATGGGGGTGAAGGGGGTGATGGAGATGATGGAGATTATGGGGGTTATGGGGATTATGGGGATGATGGAGTTGATGGAGATGATAGGGATGATGGGGATGATGGGGATGATGGAGATGATGGAGATGATCGAGATGATGGAGGTGATGGGGATGATGGAGATGATGGAGATGATAGGGATGATGGGGATGATGGGGTCGATGGGGATGAAGGGGGTGAAGGAGATGATGGGTGTGAGGAAGATGATTGGGATGATGGGGGTGTAGGGAAGATGGGAGTGATGTGGATGTTGGGGACGATGGAGGAGATGTGGATGATTGGGGTGATGGGGATGATGGGGTTGATGATGAGGGGAATGATGTGTCTGATGAGGATGATGGGTGTGATGGGGATGATGGAGATGATGAAGATGATGGGGTGATGTGGACGATGGAGATGATGGAGATGATTGGGATGATGGGGATGACGGAGGTGATGGGGATGACGTGGATAAAGGGGGTGATGGGGATGATGGAGATGATGGAGATGATGGAGATGACGGGGGTGATGGGGATTATGGGGTTGATGGGGATGATGGGTGTGATGGGGATGATGGAGTTGATGGAGATGATAGGGATGATGGGGATGATGGGGGTGATGGGGATGAAGGGGGTGAAGGAGATGAAGGGGGTGAAGGAGATGATGGGTGTGATGGAGATGATTGGGATGATGGGGGTGTAGTGAAGATGGGGGTGATGTGGATGTTGGGGATGATGGAGGAGATGTGGATGATTGGGGTGATGGGGATGATGGGGTTGATGATGAGGGGAATGATGTGTCTGATGCGGATGATGGGTGTGATGGGGATGATGGAGATGATGGAGATGATGGGGGTGATGGGGATGAAAGGGGTGAAGGAGATGATGGGTGTGATGGAGATGATTGGGATGATGGGGGTGTAGGGAAGATGGGGGTGATGTGGATGTTGGGGATGATGGAGGAGATGTGGATGATTGGGGCGATGGGGATGATGGGGTTGATGATGAGGGGAATGATGTGTCTGATGCGGATGATGGGTGTGATGGGGATGATGGAGATGATGGAGATGATGGGGTGATGGGGATGATGGGGGTGATGTGGATGATGGAGATGATGGAGATGATGGAGATGATTGGGATGATGGGGATGATGGGGGTGATGGGGATGATGGAGATGATGGAGATGGTGACGGTGATAGCATATTTGTTATATTTGGATGGCACATTTGCCATATAAGTAAATGGTATATAGGGAAAATTGGCATATAAAGACCTTTAATTTATAAGGAAAATTGGTATATAAGGACAATTGGTATACCTTCGTCATTTCAGTTAACTTTGAAGGTTTATTAGGTTTTTTTTTTCAGCAAATAAAAATGAAAAAACAACAATTAATTCCTTAATTAAAATATATGGGTTGTCCCATAAGTTTCTTCCCTTTTTTTGATGCGAAATGAATACACGATATTTGTTGTTTGAGGTTGATTTATTGTATTATATATGAACCGTTCTGTTCTATAACCTTCTTTCATCTCTCAGAAAGCCTCATTATGCCCTCTTTCCAAAATTTTTGAGGCTTACTTGCGAAATATTCGTCTGTGTGCGTTTTAATTTCGCTTATGGGTTTGAAAGATTTACCACGGAGATATTTTTTTAAGGAGAGGAACAAGTAATAATCGGAAGGAGCAAGGTCTGAGGAGTACGGAGGATGAGGTAGAACGTTCCAATCGAATTGTAATAATTTTTGTCTCACGACGACACGACGAAGAAGCAAATCGCACGTAGAGACGCGGTTCATAAGGCCGGTCTCCGTCAATGGGTGTGGAACCCAAACTTCATACCGATTTGCATATCCCATCTTGATCAAATGCTTATGTACCGTTGTCTTGGGAATGTTAGTGTCATCCGCTATCTCGCGGATTTTCAGAGAGCACAGTTTTGATAAGGTCCGCATCCGTCGTTACTGGGCGGCCGCTGCGGTCTTCATCTTGCAAATCAAATTTGCCGGCTCTAAATTTCTTAAACCAATTGCGGACGGTCCTAATGGTCGTAGTACCACTCCCGTAAGCGGTGCAAATCTCGTCTGCAGTGTTTTTTGCACTATTGCCTTTTTTAAAGCAATTTTGCATAACATGCCGTAAATGCTTCTTTTGGTTCTCCATATTGAACGGGGCATATTTTTTTTTGAAAGAGGCTTTGTCACCAACGAAACTTACTTTGAAAGAGCTCTGGGATGACTGAAACCTATGCCATAAACGGCTAAGAGATATGCCTGCATGTTTATATAAGCATAGCCAGTCAGAGTCATTCATAGCGTAGCGCGGAAGAAACTTATGGGACACCCTAATATATTCTAATTCTTAATACATTTCACAATATACAGTATGTAATACAGCAAATGGCGTTCCCTTGAACACGTTAATATATATCACTAATAGATTAAAATTAATATATCAGCATAGAAAAATAAGCACAAAATAATCTAAATAAAAAAATAATAATTTATTCACAATAATTTCGAAACCTCCTATATGTATGTGGCGCGGAATAGAACGTATGTATCTAGCGTAGTAGCATTGCCGAAAGTGGCAACGTCGCAATACGCACGATGCCGAGCGGCGCCTTTTGTAGTGGCGGCATATTGAATTATAAAGACACGTAGTCGGATTGTTAACAGTAAAAATAAACATTTTAAATGTATGTTTAGTTTTAGAAATAACACTTAACCCGTCTCAAATGTATCGCTGACTAAGGAACGTGTCACTGAGGTACCTATTCGCAAACAGTAAATAAAAAAAAACAAATTCAACCATCATATCTAAGACACGTTTCAATAACATTACAATAATAATACAGAGAATTAGACAGAATTTGCACGCAACGGCCGAGTAATGAACGCGGGGCGGTGGGGCGGTAGCGCCTTTGAGTTCTGCCGACACGTCGCCGTCATGTCGCCGCCCGCTCGTTGTTACAAAATAAACAAATGAGTCGTATAGGATCAAAGGCGGCAATCTACGCTTAGACTGAAATCAAAGAATTGAAAATTTTCGGTTTGTGTCGTCCGTTTCAAAAATGATATTACGTAACTTTATTTTAAGAGATGTAAGTATTGATGCGCTTAATATTAAACTCTCATTGTGTACTATAAAAATAACAAATTGAAGAAATTTACAGGCTTAGAATGTACATCCATGATTCAATTTATACATTTATTTTATAACAGTAATCACAATAAATAAAATAATTCAAATAAAAAAACACGGACACAAATTCGTTAGAAACTTCATACAGACGTCATTAGATCACGTGACCATACGGACGCTTGTGATTGGTGGAATGAGTTAGAATGCCGGGTTTGATTCTTATGCTGTTGAAGATTGCCGAATTTGATGCTAAACCTGATTTTCAAAAGGGATTTCACTCCGAGATAGTCGTTTTTGTTATAAAGTAAATTAAGTACGTAACGTTATTTTAAATTTCCATATAAAAATCTTTATTTTGATAAAATGTGCAGATTGCCGCCTTTGATTCTATACGACTCAAATACTAGTTAATACAGAAGGTCTACTCGCTGGGTACATGAATTTGCTTTACACATTAAGTTGGATGAAAGTTTATTTAAACCACAGTTTAGGCTAGCATTTAAATGATCATGGTGGTGTTACACAATTTATTTACAGTTCACATGGAGGTATTAAGCAGTTTTAGGAAAGAGTTCTGAACTTATTAATTTTGTGGCACACTCGTTTAGTGTTATTTTTTTTAATGTTCTCGAAATGTTTAAGGTATTATGATACATTTAAATAATGTTAAAACTTACCTAGATTTTGAACTGCTCGATATGCTGACCTGCTCTGTCTACACATTGTTGCAATCGCCGACGGTTATTTTCGTGCACTTTTTGAAGTGAGTACGGATGCTGCTTGTTTCTCTTTAATATTTTAAACACTACGACGTGACTCATATTGAACAGGCGGCCGGCTCTTCTGGTGCTTGAACCGGGCTCCTCCTCAAAATGCCTTAGCACGTTCTCTTCCTGTCGCACTGAAATCACGGGTCGCGGGCCACCTGAACGACGCGGCACTACCGGCTCATTATTACGCATACGCACTAGGGCATTCACAATTACATACTCCTGCGCACTGAACTGATAACGCAGCATCTTTCAGACGAAAATACGTAGACGTAGTAATGCGGAAATAATAGACGTGCGATCCCGGTCAGCGGCGTGGGATTACTAAATAGTAAATACTAAAAAATAAAATTTCGCGGACGTTCGGGGGCGGGGGTCGGGTGACACTTTAAAATCGTAGATCAATCGAATGCCGCATACGCGGCCCGTCTTTTATAAGTAAGTTGCGACGTTGCCGTTCTTCAAATATGCGTGTACAGGATGTTTCTTTTACATGTAAATTTAATATTTTTAATGATTATTTTTAAATAAAAAAAAATAAAAAACATTTTGTTTTCGATTGGTAATATTTTTTTTAGCATGTATGGATGCTACATTATTGCGGATTAATGGGAACTTGAATCGTTAGTTGACATACTGTATAAGAAATTAAAGTTACAACTCCTACATTATATTAAGAGCAGTGATTTAAAATTACATAAAATTTTTACAATTTAATGATTTTTACCGTTCTTCTTGTACACGAATTGCTCAAAATGCTGTACCAACCCTATTCTTAAGTATCTAAAGTAAGCAACTTCCAAGTAGTTATAGGCACACAATACATACTACTAATATAAAAAAAATATAAATAATCATTTATATTTTATATATATAGATAATATTTTACATTACTATTATTTTACTTTAGAAATTGGTGCTCATAATTAAAAATTAAAAAAAAAAATGATTAAATTGAATATAATGAAGTAGGTATACAAGTCATCTTAACATTTTTATATACTTACATGTTATATAGATTTGATCGATTTATAATGTGCGGTCTTTATTACCTTTTTTATCTAAATAAAGAAAAGTGTCTACAAACAGTATCGCAATATAACTACTTGTGTCACTTCTTGACATAGGTAAAACAAACACAAAGTGTTCTAAATATGCAGAGATTATAATTTCACTGGATAACTACAAACCAAAAAAAAGTCGTTTATAGTTTTTTATGTAATATAAGAATGACAGTGTTTAAATCAGTAAAAATTACTTTTCTGCCGGAAGTCACTATTAAGTATTAATAACCCGAAAAAAACTGATAAGGGATGATAGGGGTGATGGGGATGAAGAGGGTGATGGGGATGAAGGGGGTGATGGAGATGATGGAAATGATTGGTGTGATGGGGATGATGGAGATGATGGGGATGAAGGGGGTGATGGGGATGATGGGGATGATGGGTGTAATGGGGATGATGGAGATGATGGAGATGATGGATTTGATGGAGATGATGGGGATGATTGAGGTGATGTGAATGTTGGGGGTCATGGGGATAAAGGGGATGAAGGAGATGATGGTTGTGATGGGGATGATGTGATTGATGTGGATGATGGAGATGATAAAGATGATAGAGATGATGGAGATGATAGGGATGATGGGGATGATGGGGGTGATGGGGATGAAGGGGGTGAAGGAGATGATGGGGATGATGGGGATGAAGAGGGTGGTGGAGATGATGGAGATGATTGGGGTGATGGGGGTGAAGGGGGTGATGGAGATGATGGAGATTATGGGGGTAATGGGGATTATGGGGATGATGGAGTTGATGGAGATGATAGGAATGATGGGGATGATGGGGATGATGGAGATGATGGAGATGATCGAGATGATGGAGGTGATGGGGGTGATGGAGATGATGGAGATGATAGGGATGATGGGGATGAAGGGGGTGAAGGAGATGATGGGTGTGATGAAGATGATTGGGATGATGGGGGTGAAGGGAAGATGGGAGTGATGTGGATGTTGCGGATGATGGAGGAGATGTGGATGATTGGGGTGATGGGGATGATGGGGTTGATGATGAGGGGAATGATGTGTCTGATGAGGATGATGGGTGTGATGGGGATGATGGAGATGATGGAGATGATGGGGTGATGGGGATGATGGGGGTGATGTGGATGATGGAGATGATGGAGATGATGGGGATGATTGGGGTGATGGGGGTGAAGGGGGTGATGGAGATGATGGAGATTATGGGGGTTATGGGGATTATGGGGATGATGGAGTTGATGGAGATGATAGGGATGATGGGGATGATGGGGATGATGGGGATGATGGGGTCGATGGGGATGAAGGGGGTGAAGGAGATGATGGGTGTGAGGAAGATGATTGGGATGATGGGGGTGTAGGGAAGATGGGAGTGATGTGGATGTTGGGGACGATGGAGGAGATGTGGATGATTGGGGTGATGGGGATGATGGGGTTGATGATGAGGGGAATGATGTGTCTGATGAGGATGATGGGTGTGATGGGGATGATGGAGATGATGTAGATGATGGGGTGATGGGGATGATGGGGGTGATGTGGATGATGGAGATGATGGAGATGATGGAGATGATTGGGATGATGGGGATGATGGGGGTGATGGGGATGATGGAGATGATGGAGATGGTGACGGTGATAGCATATTTGTTATATTTGGATGGCACATTTGCCATATAAGTAAATGGTATATAGGGAAAATTGGCATATAAAGACCTTTAATTTATAAGGAAAATTGGTATATAAGGACAATTGGTATACCTTCGTCATTTCAGTTAACTTTGAAGGTTTATTAGGTTTTTTTTTTCAGCAAATAAAAATGAAAAAACAACAATTAATTCCTTAATTAAAATATATTCTAATTCTTAATACATTTCACAATATACAGTATGTAATACAGCAAATGGCGTTCCCTTGAACACGTTAATATATATCACTAATAGATTAAAATTAATATATCAGCATAGAAAAATAAGCACAAAATAATCTAAATAAAAAAATAATAATTTATTCACAATAATTTCGAAACCTCCTATATGTATGTGGCGCGGAATAGAACGTATGTATCTAGCGTAGTAGCATTGCCGAAAGTGGCAACGTCGCAATACGCACGATGCCGAGCGGCGCCTTTTGTAGTGGCGGCATATTGAATTATAAAGACACGTAGTCGGATTGTTAACAGTAAAAATAAACATTTTAAATGTATGTTTAGTTTTAGAAATAACACTTAACCCGTCTCAAATGTATCGCTGACTAAGGAACGTGTCACTGAGGTACCTATTCGCAAACAGTAAATAAAAAAAAACAAATTCAACCATCATATCTAAGACACGTTTCAATAACATTACAATAATAATACAGAGAATTAGACAGAATTTGCACGCAACGGCCGAGTAATGAACGCGGGGCGGTGGGGCGGTAGCGCCTTTGAGTTCTGCCGACACGTCGCCGTCATGTCGCCGCCCGCTCGTTGTTACAAAATAAACAAATGAGTCGTATAGGATCAAAGGCGGCAATCTACGCTTAGACTGAAATCAAAGAATTGAAAATTTTCGGTTTGTGTCGTCCGTTTCAAAAATGATATTACGTAACTTTATTTTAAGTGATGTAAGTATTGATGCGCTTAATATTAAACTCTCATTGTGTACTATAAAAATAACAAATTGAAGAAATTTACAGGCTTAGAATGTACATCCATGATTCAATTTATACATTTATTTTATAACAGTAATCACAATAAATAAAATAATTCAATAAAAACACGGACACAAATTCGTTAGAAACTTCATACAGACGTCATTAGATCACGTGACCATACGGACGCTTGTGATTGGTGGAATGAGTTAGAATGCCGGGTTTGATTCTTATGCTGTTGAAGATTGCCGAATTTGATGCTAAACCTGATTTTCAAAAGGGATTTCACTCCGAGATAGTCGTTTTTGTTATAAAGTAAATTAAGTACGTAACGTTATTTTAAATTTCCATATAAAAATCTTTATTTTGATAAAATGTGCAGATTGCCGCCTTTGATTCTATACGACTCAAATACTAGTTAATACAGAAGGTCTACTCGCTGGGTACATGAATTTGCTTTACACATTAAGTTGGATGAAAGTTTATTTAAACCACAGTTTAGGCTAGCATTTAAATGATCATGGTGGTGTTACACAATTTATTTACAGTTCACATGGAGGTATTAAGCAGTTTTAGGAAAGAGTTCTGAACTTATTAATTTTGTGGCACACTCGTTTAGTGTTATTTTTTTTAATGTTCTCGAAATGTTTAAGGTATTATGATACATTTAAATAATGTTAAAACTTACCTAGATTTTGAACTGCTCGATATGCTGACCTGCTCTGTCTACACATTGTTGCAATCGCCGACGGTTATTTTCGTGCACTTTTTGAAGTGAGTACGGATGCTGCTTGTTTCTCTTTAATATTTTAAACACTACGACGTGACTCATATTGAACAGGCGGCCGGCTCTTCTGGTGCTTGAACCGGGCTCCTCCTCAAAATGCCTTAGCACGTTCTCTTCCTGTCGCACTGAAATCACGGGTCGCGGGCCACCTGAACGACGCGGCACTACCGGCTCATTATTACGCATACGCACTAGGGCATTCACAATTACATACTCCTGCGCACTGAACTGATAACGCGGCATCTTTCACACGAAAATACGTAGACGTAGTAATGCGGAAATAATAGACGTGCGATCCCGGTCAGCGGCGTGGGATTACTAAATAGTAAATACTAAAAAATAAAATTTCGCGGACGTTCGGGGGCGGGGGTCGGGTGACACTTTAAAATCGTAGATCAATCGAATGCCGCATACGCGGCCCGTCTTTTATAAGTAAGTTGCGACGTTGCCGTTCTTCAAATATGCGTGTACAGGATGTTTCTTTTACATGTAAATTTAATATTTTTAATGATTATTTTTAAATAAAAAAAAATAAAAAACATTTTGTTTTCGATTGGTAATATTTTTTTTAGCATGTATGGATGCTACATTATTGCGGATTAATGGGAACTTGAATCGTTAGTTGACATACTGTATAAGAAATTAAAGTTACAACTCCTACATTATATTAAGAGCAGTGATTTAAAATTACATAAAATTTTAATTACAATTTAATGATTTTTACCGTTCTTCTTGTACACGAATTGCTCAAAATGCTGTACCAACCCTATTCTTAAGTATCTAAAGTAAGCAACTTCCCAAGTAGTTATAGGCACACAATACATACTACTTATATAAAAACTAGTATAAATAATCAATAAATTTTTATATATATAGATAATATTTTACATTATTATTATTTTACTTTAGAAATTGGTGCTCATAATTAAAAATGAAAAAAAAAAATATGATTTAATTGAATATAATGAAATAGGTATACAAGTCATCTTAACATTTTTATATACTTACATGTTATATAGATTTGATCGATTTATAATGTGCGGTCTTTATTACCTTTTTTATCTAAATAAAGAAAAGTGCCTACAAACAGTATCGCAATATAACTACTTGTGTCACTTCTTGACATAGGTAAAACAAACACAAAGTGTTCTAAATATGCAGAGATTATAATTTCACTAGATAACTACAAACCAAAAAAAAGTTGTTTATAGTTTTTTATGTAATATAAGAATGACAGTGTTTAATTCAGTAAAAATTACTTTTCTGCCGAAAGTCACTATTAGGTATTAATAAACCGAAAAAAAACTGATAAGGGATGATAGGGGTGATGTTGATGAAGGGGGTGATGGGGATGATAGGGGTGATGGGGATGATAGGGGTGATGGGGATGAAGAGGGTGATGGGGATGAAGGGGGTGATGGAGATGATGGAAATGATTGGTGTGATGGGGATGATGGAGATGATGGGGATGAAGGGGGTGATGGGGATGATGGGGATGATGGGTGTAATGGGGATGATTGAGATGATGGAGATGATGGATTTGATGGAGATGATGGGGATGATTGAGGTGATGTGGATGTTGGGGGTGATGGGGATAAAGGGGATGAAGGAGATGATGGTTGTGATGGGGATGATGTGATTGATGTGGATGATGGAGATGATAAAGATGATAGAGATGATGGAGATGATAGGGATGATGGGGATGATGGGGGTGATGGGGATGAAGGGGGTGAAGGAGATGATGGGGATGATGGGGATGATGGAGATGATGGGGGTGATGGGGATTAAGGGAATGATGGAGATGATGGAGATGAGGGGGATGATGGGGGTTATGGGGATGAAGGGGCTGATGGAGATGATGGAGATGATTGGGGTGATGGGGGTAAAGGGGGTGATGGAGATGATGGAGATGACGGGGGTGATGGGGATTATGGGGATGATGGAGTTGATGGAGATGATGGAGATGATAGGGATGATGGGGATGATGGGGATGACGGGGGTGATGGGGATGATGGGTGTGATGGGGATGATGGAGATGATGGGGGTGATGAGGATTGAGAGGGTGATGGAGATAATGGAGATCATGGGGATGACGTGGATGAAGGGGGTGGTGGGGATGATGGAGATGATGGGAATAAAGGGGGTGATAGTTCTGATGGGGATGATGGAGATGATGGTGATGAAGGGGGTGATGGGGATGATTGTTGTAATGGGGATTATGGAGATGATGGAGATGATGGATTTGATGGGGATGATGATGATGATGGAGATGATGGAGATGATGGGGGTGATGGGGATGAAGAGGGTGATGGAGATGATGGAGATGATGGGGATGATTGGGGTGATGGGGGTGAAGGGGGTGAAGGAGATGATGGGGATGATGGGGGTGATGGGGATGATGGGGTTGATGGGGATGATGGAGATGATGGGGGTGATGGGGATTAAGAGGGTGATGGAGATAATGGAGATCATGGGGATGACGTGGATGAAGGGGGTGATGGGGATGATGGAGATGATGGGAATAAAGGGGGTGATAAGGCTGATGGGGATGATGTAGATGATGGTGATGAAGGGGGTGATGAGGATGATGGTTGTAATGGGGATTATGGAGATGATGGAGATGATGGATTTGATGGGGATGATGATGATGATGGAGATGATGGAGATGATCGGGGCGATGGGGATGATGGGGGAGATGGGGATGATGGAGATGGTGACGGTGATGGCATATTTGTTATATTTGGATGGCACATTTGGCATATAAAAAAATGGTATATAAGGAAAATTGGTATATAAGGAAAATTGGTATATAAAGACCTTTGATTTATAAGGAAAATTGGTATATAAGGACATTTGGTATACCTAAGTCATTTCAGTTTACTTTGAAGGTTTATTAGGTTTTTTTTTTTTCAACAAATAAAAATGAAAAAACAACAATTAATTCCTTAATTAAAATATATTCTAATTCTTAATACATTTCACAATATATAAGAAATTAAAGTTATAACTCCTACATTATATTAAGAGCAATGATTTAAAATTACATAAAATTTTTTACAATTTAATGATTTTTACCGTTCTTCTAGAACACGAATTGCTCAAAATGCTGTACCAACTCTATACTTAAGTATCTAAAGGGGGTGATGGGGATGATGGGGGTGATGGGGATGATGGAGATGATGGAGATGATGAGGATGATGGGGTTGATGGGGATGATGGGGATGATAGGGGTGATGGGGATAAAGGGGGTGATGGAGATGATGGAGGTGATGGGGATGACGTGGATGAAGGGGGTGATGGGGATGATGGGGGTGATGGGGATGATGGAGATGATGGAGATGATGAGGATGATGGGGTGCATGGGGATGAAGGGGGTGATGGGGATGATGGGGGTGATGAGGATGATGGGGTTGATGGGGATGATGGGGATGATAAGGGGTGATGGGGATGAAGGGAGTGATGGAGATGATGGAGGTGATGGGGATGGGGATTACGTGGATGAAGGGGGTGATGGGGATGATGGAGATAATGGAGATGACGGGGGTGATGGGGATTATGGGGGTGATGGGGATGATGGGTGTGATGGGGATGATGGAGATGATGAAGATGATGAGGATGATGGGGTTGATGTGGATGATGGGGATGATAGGGGTGATGGGGATAAAGGGGGTGATGGAGATGATGGAGGTGATGGGGATGACGTGGATGAAGGGGGTGATGGGGATGATGGGGGTGATGGGGATGATGGAGATGATGGAGATGATGAGGATGATGGGGTGATGGGGATGATGGGGATGATGGGGATGATAGGGGTGATGGGGATGATGGAGATGATGGAGATGATGAGGATGATGGGGTGCATGGGGATGATGGGGGTGATGGGGATAAAGGGGATGATGGGGATGATGGATATGACGGGGGTGATGGGGATGATGGGGATGATGGAGGAGATGTGGATGATTGGGGTGATGGGGATGATGGGGGTGATGATGAGGGGAATGATGTGTCTGATGAGGATGATGGGAGTGATGGGGATGATGGAGATGATGGAGATGATGGGGTGATGGGGATGATGGGGGTGATGGGGATGATGGAGATGATGGAGATGATGGAGATGATGGGGATGATGGGGGTGATGGGGGTGATGGAGATGATGGGGATGACGGGGGTGATGGGGATGATGGGGATGATGGAGGAGATGTGGATGATTGGGGTGATGGGGATGATGGGGTTGATGATGAGGGGAATGATGTGTCTGATGAGGATGATGGGTGTGATGGGGATGATGGAGATGATGGGGTGATGGGGATGATGGAGATGGTGACGGTGATGGCATATTTGTTATATTTGGATGGCACATTTGGCATATAAAAAAATGGTATATAAGGAAAATAGGTATATAAGGAAAATTGGTATATAAAGACCTTTGATTTATAAGGAAAATTGGTATATAAGGACATTTGGTATACCTAAGTCATTTCAGTTTACTTTGAAGGTTTATTAGGTTTTTTTTTTTCAACAAATAAAAATGAAAAAACAACAATTAATTCCTTAATTAAAATATATTCTAATTCTTAATACATTTCACAATATATAAGAAATTAAAGTTATAACTCCTACATTATATTAAGAGCAATGATTTAAAATTACATAAAATTTTTACAATTTAATGATTTTTACCGTTCTTCTAGTACACGAATTGCTCAAAATGCTGTACCAACTCTATACTTAAGTATCTAAAGGGGGTGATGGGGATGATGGGGGTGATGGGGTTGATGGGATGATGGGGATGATAGGGGTGATGGGGATAAAGGGGGTGATGGAGATGATGGAGGTGATGGGGATGACGGGGATGAAGGGGGTGATGGGGATGATGGAGATGATGGGGGTGATGAAGATTAAGAGGGTGATGGAGATAATGGAGATCATGGGGATGATGGAGATGATGGGGATGTTAGGGGTTATGGGGATGTTAGGGGTTATGGGGATGAAGGGGTTGATAGAGATGATGGATGTGATAGGGATGACTGGGGTGATGGAGGTGATGGGGATGATGGGGGTGATGGGGTTGATGGGGATGATGGGGATGATGGGGGTGATGGGGATGAAGGGAGTGGTGGAGATGATGGAGGTGATGGGGATGACGTAGATGATGGAGTTCATGGAGATGATGGGGATAATGGGGTATACGGGGATGATGGGGATGATGGGGGTGATGGGGATGATGGAGATGATGGAGATGATGGAGATGATAGGGATAATGGGGGTGATGGCGGTGATGGGGATGTTGGGGGTGATGGGGATAAAGGGGATGATGGGGATGATGGATATGATGGGGATGATGTGGATGAAGGGGGTGATGGGGATGATGGAGATGATGGGGGTGATGGGGATGAAGGGGTTCATGGAGATGATGGGGATTATGGAGATGATGGAGATGATGGGGATGAAGGGGGTGATGGGGGTGATGGAGATGATGGGGATGACGGGGGTGATGGGGATGATGGGGATGATGGAGGAGATGTGGATGATTGGGGTGATGGGGATGATGGGGTTGATGATGAGGGGAATGATGTGTCTGATGAGGATGATGGGTGTGATGGGGATGATGGAGATGATGGGGTGATGGGGATGATGGGGGTGATGTGGATGATGGAGATGATGGAGATGATGGAGATGATTGGGATGATGGGGATGATGGGGGTGATGGGGATGATGGAGATGGTGACGGTGATGGCATATTTGTTATATTTGGATGGCACATTTGGCATATAAAAAAATGGTATATAAGGAAAATAGGTATATAAGGAAAATTGGTATATAAAGACCTTTGATTTATAAGGAAAATTGGTATATAAGGACATTTGGTATACCTAAGTCATTTCAGTTTACTTTGAAGGTTTATTAGGTTTTTTTTTTTCAACAAATAAAAATGAAAAAACAACAATTAATTCCTTAATTAAAATATATTCTAATTCTTAATACATTTCACAATATATAAGAAATTAAAGTTATAACTCCTACATTATATTAAGAGCAATGATTTAAAATTACATAAAATTTTTACAATTTAATGATTTTTACCGTTCTTCTAGTACACGAATTGCTCAAAATGCTGTACCAACTCTATACTTAAGTATCTAAAGGGGGTGATGGGGATGATGGGGGTGATGGGGATGATGGAGATGATGGAGATGATGAGGATGATGGGGTTGATGGGGATGATGATGGGGATGATAGGGGTGATGGGGATAAAGGGGGTGATGGAGATGATGGAGGTGATGGGGATGATGTGATGAAGGGGGTGATGGGGATGATGGGGGTGATGGGGATGATGGAGATGATGGGGATGATGAGGATGATGGGGTTGATGGGGATGATGGGGATGATAGGGGTGATGGGGATGAAGGGAGTGATGGAGATGATGGAGGTGATGGGGATGACGTGGATGAAGGGGGTGATGGGGATGATGGAGATGATGGAGATGACGGGGGTGATGGGGATTATGGGAGTGATGGGGATGATGGGTGTGATGGGATGATGGGGATGATGGGTGTGATGGGGATGATGGAGATGATGGAGATGATGAGGATGATGGGGTTGATGGGGATGATGGAGATGATGAGGATGATGGGGTGCATGGGGATGATGGGGATGATGGGGTTGATGGAAATGATGAGGGTGATGGGGATGATGGAGATGATGGAGATGATGGAGATGGATGATGATGGGGATGATGGGGGTGGGGATGATGGAAAATTGGATGACCTTGGGGGTGATGGGGATGAATGGGTGATGGAGATGATGGGGATGATTGGGTTGATGGGGAATTGTGAAGGGAATGATGGAGATGATGGAGATGATGGGGTGATGGGGTTGATGGGATGATGGGGATTATTGGGATAATGGGGATGATGGAGATGATGGAGATGATGAGGGGATGATGGGGGTGATGGCGGTGATGGGGATGTTGGGGGTGATGGGGATAAAGGGGATGATGGGGATGATGGATATGATGGGGATGACGTGGATGAAGGGGGTGATGGGGATGATGGGGATGATGGGGTTGATGGAAATGATGAGGGTGATGGGGATGATGGAGATGATGGAGATGATGGGGATGATTGGGGTGATGTGGATGTTGGGGGTGATGGGGATGAAGAGGGTGATGGAGATGATGGGGATGATTGGGTTGATGGGGGTGAAGGGGGTGATGGAGATGATGGGGATGATGGAGATGATGGAGATGATAGGGATAATGGGGGTGATGGCGGTGATGGGGATGTTGGGGGTGATGGGGATAAAGGGGATGATGGGGATGATGGATATGATGGGGATGACGTGGATGAAGGGGATGATGGGGATGATGGAGATGATGGGGGTGATGGTGATGAAGGGGCTCATGGAGATGATGGGGATTATGGAGATGATGGAGATGATGGGGATGAAGGGGGTGATGGGGGTGATGGAGATGATGGGGATGACGGGGGTGATGGGGATGATGGGGATGATGGAGGAGATGTGGATGATTGGGGTGATGGGGATGATGGGGTTGATGATGATGGGGATGAGGGGAATGTGTGTGTGATGAGGATGATGGGTCTGATGAGGATGATGGGTGTGGTGGGGATGATGGAGATGATGGGGTGATGGGGATGATGGGGATGATGGGATGATGGGGATGATGGGGGTGATGGGGATGATGGAGATGATGGAGATGATGAGGATGATGGGGTTGATGGGGATGATGGGGATGATGGGGGTGATGGGGATGATGGAGATGGTGACGGTGATGGCATATTTGTTATATTTGGATGGCACATTTGGCATATAAAAAAATGGTATATAAGGAAAATTGGTATATAAGGAAAATTGGTATATAAAGACCTTTGATTTATAAGGAAAATTGGTATATAAGGACATTTGGTATACCTAAGTCATTTCAGTTTACTTTGAAGGTTTATTAGGTTTTTTTTTTCAACAAATAAAAATGAAAAAACAACAATTAATTCCTTAATTAAAATATATTCTAATTCTTAATACATTTCACAATATATAAGAAATTAAAGTTATAACTCCTACATTATATTAAGAGCAATGATTTAAAATTACATAAAATTTTTACAATTTAAATGATTTTTACCGTTCTTCTAGTACACGAATTGCTCAAAATGCTCTACCAACTCTATACTTAAGTATCTAAAGTAAGCAACTTCCAAAGTAGTTATAGGCACACAATACATACTACTAATATAAAAAAAATATAAATAATCAATTATATTTTATATATATAGATAATATTTTACATTATTATTATTTTACTTTAGAAATTGGTGCTCATAATTAAAAATAAAAAAAAAAAAAAATGATTAAATTGAATATAACGAAATAGGTATACAAGTCATCTTAACATTTTTATATACTTACATGGTATATAGATTTGATCGATTTATAATGTGCGGTCTTTATTACCTTTTTTTATCTAAATAAAGAAAAGTGCCTACAAACAGTATCGCAATATAACTACTTGTGTCACTTCTTGACATAGGTAAAACACACACAAAGTGTTCTAAATATGCAGAGATTATAATTTCACTGGAAAACTACAAACCAAAAAAAAGTCGTTTATTGTTTTTTATGTAATATAAGAATGACAGTGTTTAAATCAGTAAAAATTACTTTTCTGCCGGAAGTCACTATTAAGTATTAATAACCCGAAAAAAAACTGATAAGGGATGATAGGGGTGATGGGGATGAAGAGGGTGATGGGGATGAAGGGGGTGATGGAGATGATGGAAATGATTGGTGTGATGGGGATGATGGAGATGATGGGGATGATGATGGGGATGATGGGGATGATGGGATGATGGGGATGATGGGGATGATGGGGATGATGGGGATGATGGGGATGTTGGGGGTGATGGGGATAAAGGGTGATGATGTGGGGATGATGATGTGGATGATGGAGATGATAAAGATGATGGGGATGATGGGTGTGATCGAGATGATGGGGATGAGGGGGGTGATGTGGATGATGGAGACGATAGGGATGATGTGGATGATGTGGATGATGGAGATGATGAGGATGATGGGGGTGATGGGGATGATGGAGATGATGGGGGTGATGAGGATGATGGAGATGATGGGGGTGATGAGGATTGAGAGGGTGATGGAGATAATGGAGATCATGGGGTAAATTGATATGATAGGGATGATGGGGTTGATGGGGATGAAGGGGGTGATGGAGATGATGGAGGTGATGGGGATGACGTGGATGAAGGGGGTGACGGGGATGATGGAGATGATGGGAATGAAGGGGGTGATAGGGCTGATGGGGATGATGGAGATGATCGTGATGAAGGGGGTGATGGGGATGATGGAGACGATGTGGATGATGTGGATTATGTGGATGATGGAGATGATGAAAATGATGGGGAAGATTGGTGTGATGGGGATAAAGGGGGTGATGGGGATGAAGGGCATGATGGGAGTGATGTAGATGATATGGATGATGGAGATGATGGAGATGATGGGGATGATGGAGATGATGGAGATGCTTGGGATGATGGGGGTGTAGGGAGGATGGGGGTAATGTGGATGATGGGGATGATGGGGGTGTAGGGAGGATGGGGGTGATGGGGATGATGGGGATGATGGGGGTTGTGGGGATGATGGGTGTGATGGGGATGATGGAGATGATGGAGATGATTGGGATGATGGGGGTGTAGGGAGGATAGGGGTGATGTGGTTGATGGGGATGATGGAGAAGATGTGGATGATGGGGATGATGGCGGTGTAGGGAGGATGGGGGTGATGGGGATGATGGGGATGATGGGGGTTGTGGGGATGATGGGTGTGATGGGGATGATGGAGATGATGGAGATGATTGGAGATGATGGGGGATGTAGGGAGGGATGGGGGTGATGTGGTTGATGGGGATGATGGAGAAGATGTGGATGATTGGGGTGATGGGGATGATGGGGATGATGGGGGTGATGGATATGATGATGATGGGGATGAGGGGAATGATGTGGATGATGAGGATGATGGGTGTGATGAGATGATGAAGATGATGGGGATGAATGGTGTGATGGGGATGATGGAGATGATGGTGATGATGGGGATGAATGGGGAGATGGGGATGATGTGAATGATGGAGATTATGGAGATGATGGGGATGATGGAGATGATGGAGATGATTGGGATGATGGGGGTGTAGGGAAGATGGGGGTGATGTGGATGATGGGTATGATGGAGGAGATGTGGATGATTGGGGTGATGGGGATGATGGGGTTGATGATGATGGGGATGAGGGGAATGTGTGTGTGATGAGGATGATGGGTGATGATGGGATGATGGAGATGGGGGTGATGGGGATGAGGGGGGGATGATGTGTGATGGGGATGATGAGTGATGATGGGGGATGTGATGGGGATGATGATGGGGGGGATGATGGGGATGATGGGGGTGATGGGGATGATGGAGATGATGGAGATGGTGACGGTGATGGCATATTTGTTATATTTGGATGGCACATTTGGCATATAAAAAAAATGGTATATAGGGAAAATTGGTATATATGGAAAATTGGTATTTAAAGACCTTTGATTTATAAGGAAAATTGGTATATAAGGACATTTGGTATACCTCCGTCATTTCAGTTTACTTTGAAGGTTTATTAGGTTTATTAGGTTTATTTTTTTACAAATAAAAATGAAAAAACAACAATTAATTCGCTAATTAAAATATATTCTTAGTCTTAATACATTTCACAGTATATAAGAAATTAAAGTTATAACTCCTACATTATATTAAGAGCAATGATTTAAAATTACATAAAATTTTTACAATTTAATGATTTTTACCGTTCTTCTAGTACACGAATTACTCAAAATGCTGTACCAACTCTATACTTAAGTATCTAAAGTAAGCAACTTCCCAATTAGTTATAGGCACACAAAACATACTACTAATATAGAAAAAATATAAATAATCAATTATATTTTATATATATAGATAATATTTTACATTATTATTATTTTACTTTAGAAATTGGTGCTCATAATTAAAAATTAAAAAAAAAAGATTAAATTGAATATAATGAAATAGGTATACAAGTCATCTTAACATTTTTATATACTTACATGGTATATAGATTTGATAGATTTATAATGTGCGGTCTTTATTACCTTTTTTATTAAAATAAAGAAAAGTGCCTAAAAACAGTATCGCAATATAACTTCTTGTGTCACGTCTTTACATAGGTAAAACAAACACAAAGTGTTCTAAATATGCAGAGATTATAATTTCACTGGATAACTACAAACCAAAAAAAAGTCGTTTATAGTTTTTTATGTAATATAAGAATGACAGTATTTAAATCAGTAAAAATTACTTTTCTGCCGGAAGTCACTATTAGGTATTAATAACCCGAAAAAAAACTGGTAAGGGATGATAGGGGTGATGGGGATGAAGAGGGTGATGGAGATGAAGGGGGTGATGGAGATGATGGAAATGATTGGTGTGATGGGG